AAGAAGTTTGGATTAGGCAAATCTGCTGCACAAGACTTCTTTAAAGTGTTCAAGAGTGAAGTCCTCAGTGGGAGGACTAAGGCGCATATACCAAAAGCCCTGGCATTTTCAATTGCTTCATACATACAAAGTCGAGCAATGAATAAGGAAGACCATGGAAGGATTGATACATTTGAGTTATGGTGTTGTAGAAGAATATTGAAAATATCATGGACCTCCAGAGAACTAACAATTCTGTCATAGAAAAGTGCAGCCAGAATGCTCCTTAGAAACCAGGATGGTGAGACTTTGTCTCTCATACTTTGCACACGTTATAAGGAGGAGACCAGTCCCTGGAGAAGGACATCATGCTTGCTAAGTGGAGGGTCAGCGAAAAACAAGAAGACCTCTAATGAGAGAGATTGACACAGTGGCAGCAACAATGAGTCAAAACATGACAAGAATTGTGAGAATTGGCACAGGACTGGGCAGTGTTTCGTTCTGCAGTGCAGAGGGTTGCTATTATTTTTAAATATCTGTAAATTTATATATAATGTTTTCAACCCCCAAAGACAAATTAAATCAGATTTATAAAGAACTATTTTTAAAAAGCAATAATCATGAAAACAAAAAAGAAAACAAAGAGGTATTCAACTGACATCTGAACCGACATATAATGGAGTCCACAGAATGAACCCTGATGTAAGTCAGGCATTACCCTTACCTGCCTCGGCGAATTCTCCTGCGTGCAATCGCTCCACAATACCGTCTAAAATCATCCTTTAATGAAAAACAAAGTAAAATCAATATACTTCTTTTATTTTAGTGCTCCTTAAGTCAGTTTAAAAGGTCCAGTTGGGATGCATTGTCTCTACATAAACGTTCCTCATCTATCAGAATTGCTTTGATATCAATCGGTGAAAAGTACAACCATTTAAATTATTTTAGTTTTTTTTAAAGTAGAGAGTGTTGCCATTTCTATTACCAGAAGTACATGTATAACTCACTATACAGTTTTAGAAAAGGTGAAACTTTTCACCATGTATATAATGCATCTCCTAACACAGTTCCAGAATGTGAGTGAAAGATACAACTCAGACATGTGCAGCAGCACAGAGAACTGTGTGTAAAAATGTGAGAGATGGAAGTCAGAAAGGGGACACAGAAGATGCTATGCCATTAACAGGAGTGTAGGGCCAAGTAGAGGTAAAGCTAATGGCCTTTATCAACTCAACAAATGATTACTATGAAAAACAAAATGTCATTTTACTTTATGATGCAAAACAGAGAGAAAATCAAAGGCAAGTAGTCATAGAAGTTGCTGACTACTTTCCTGAGAATCTCCTGTGATAAGAACTGACCTCGGAAATGGGTTTGATCCTGGGAAATGTGATCAGCTCTTCTTTATCATCAACAGCATTGTAAATAAGAAAAGCACTGTTGATGTGTCTGCCATGACCTGTAGACCATTCCTCACAGTTGAAAGCTTCCACCCGCACTCCAACTTCAACACTGCAACAGGACCACAAAAGACAGTAGCACAGCGAACCAGGTCACCAATATGTCTCCCTGCCCACCACCACCTAAGAGCAACCAAGAGAATAAATGCCCTGGTTTTTGTTCTTTGTCA